GGCCCGTGTGGCTGCACAGTATGCCACAGTGTCAGATATCAACATGTCGCAAATTCAACAAATTCAGCGCTGACACCGCTGAGATGTTAGATAGAACTTGGAGGGTTTTCTCCCCCATTCAAACATGTGGCCTGCACAGTGCCTACTCAAAAAGTAATTGACTGTAAAGTTAAGTTTAAAGTTATTGACTGTAAACTTTAAAGTTTAAAGTTTAAACTGTAAAGTTTAAAGTGCTTCTAAGCTTTGGTAGAGATCAGATTAGATAGTAGATACACTATTAACACTTGCGGTCGTTTAAGATGAGAGCACCAGGATCAAGGCCATTCCTGAAAGCTGATAAGCCAAAGGAGAAGAATGGAGAAGGTGGGTGGGTGATGAGGGAGAGGGGAGATTGGAGTCGGATAAGCGTGGGTGAAGGGTGAAGAGAGGTGGAAGACAAGACACGAAGGAAGAGGGATGGAAGGAGCGGCAGAGTGTGTGATGACAGGTCAGTGCAGCTTCCTGCTCACGCCAATTGGCAGGGAAACAGCAGCATTACAGGACAATTTAGAAAGCGCTGTCGTCAGGTTACCTTGGAACTTTTGAAAGTAAAGTTAAAACCCACCTTATCGCTGTGGCTGAATGGTTACACAGTGTACAGTGTACACACATGCAACTGTTAATCAACATGTCACAAGTTCAAATCCTGGTGGAATCAGATGTATACAATACGGTTAGAGGTTAACCCCTTTAAGCCACCAGTACACCTGGGGCCTCGAGGCACTGCACTGCACATCAAGCTTTTCCAAACTGCTAGCGTCGCACTACTTTCCTTTTTCGGCTGGCACTGCCCGCCATTGTGTTCCGGTAGGGCCGAGCCACAAAATTCTTGGAGTAGGTGACGAACAAATTTCGGCAAGCACTGCAGAGTCGTGAAGACACCACTTCACAATGGGAAAACTGAAATCAGATTATCAGACCGATTACCTGGCAAAAAACGTGTTTGGAACTTTGCAGACACCACTGCACGGTTGGTGACGAGCACCTTTTTCGCCAGGTAATCATCGTCTCTATGGTACGAGTTCATTCAGAATTATACAGCATACCCTCCAACATCGTTCCTTTTCTTTATTGGTTTTCCTTCTCGCGGTCGCCACACTTTGTGGTCCGCAGAAAATCACACACCTTCCTAGAGGTGTGGCTTGCGTCTGCAAAAGCAAATTTGGGGCCCAAGCCGGCCAACTACCATCAAAATCTGTCTGGGGCCCAAATTCGGGGTCGACATTTTTAGGGCGCAGGCCCAAGGAAAAATATGTCAGTCTTCCTGGGGGTGTTGCTTACCCCTTTGGCAATCCAAATTCGGAGCCCACGCCCGAAGGACATCTGTCTGGGGCCCAAATTTGGTGTCCACTGTACATGCTTTCAGGGCCCACGAAAAACATGTCAGGCTTCCTAGAAGGGTGTCTTACCCTATTGGAAATCCAAATTTGGGGCCAAGTCCCAGGGAAATCTGTCTCGGACTCCGAGCCCACACGTTTTGGTCCCCATTAAACTATACCCTGCGGGGGGGGGGGGGTTCTTTCGAGGGGGAACCTGATGGGTGATAACAGCCTTTGTACAAAAACTGACTCCAGGAAAAAAAAAAAAAAAAACCCTTCGGATTTCCAATTTTCCACACATCCATCAGCGACATAGTCCAGTGGAGCCTTCCACTACGTGTGATTCCTTCCACTTCCCTGTCCCTGCTTGAGCCTATCCCTGCTTGAGCCTATCCTTCCTTCATTGATGGAATGACACAACTCGATCGATAGAGAACTTTTTTTTTCTCTCTCTCTCAGACCCTCACCTGTTTTCTTCCATTTTCAGTTTCATCTCTCGAACCGCTTCTTTCAACGTCACCGACAAACCCTTCAACCTTTCTACCTGTGCCACAACATCCAGCCACCAACAATAGCACAAGTCTATTGAACGTTATCAACACTGCAGTAGCAGTAGCAGTAGAGAACACTCAGAACAGTGACACGTCGGTAACTCGAAACTTTGCCTGTGTGTTTTTTGTGATCTGGCTAACCAAAAATTCACAGTCACTGAGTCACCCAAAAAACTTTCTTGACAACGCAGCCGATAACATTGATGATACATCCTTTGGGACATCGGTTTAGATTGGAACACAATACAGAGAAGATTAGCATGGCCCTTGTGGAAGAATGACACACATTAATCGAGAAGAAGAGAGAGAGAGAGAGACAGACAGACAGAGACACAGACGGAGTCAGAGAGGGGGAGAAG